GGTCTCGGAAAAAGAAATGAGGACAGCATAGGCTAGTAGAGGTGGAGAGAAATACATGGATTTCAGGTATCTTTTTTTTTTTTTTTTTTTTTGCAACTTCTGCCTCACAGTTCAAGTGATTCTCTAGCCTCAGCCCCCCAGCAGCTGGGATTACAGGTACTGCCACCACGCCCGGCTAAATTTTTGTATTTTTAGTAGACACAGAGTTTCACCATGTTGGTCAGGCTGTTCTTGAACTCCTGACCTCAGGTGATCTGCCCGCCTTGGCCTCCCAAAGTGGTGGGATTACAGGTGTGAGCCAACGTGCCAGGCCGGATTTCAGGTATCTTGTAGAACTGGTGTCTCCCAGGCCTAGAGCTGGATTCAGTGTAAAAGGCGAAGGAGAAGGATGATAATGTTGCTTCTCTGATAGTATTTTCATGAGAAATTTAATTTTGTCCAGGTTTCTCAAAAAAATCAACATCAAATTACTATGTAATCCAGCTATTCCAAAAGAATTCACAGCAGGAACACAACACACGCACTCGTATTCCAATGTTCATAGCAGCACTATTCCCAATAGCCAAAAGGTGGAAACAACCCAAATGTCCATGAACAGATGAATGGGTAAACAAGCTGTGGTCTATCCATACAGTGGAATATTATTTAGCCATAAAAAAGAACGAAGTTCTGATGAATGTTTACAGCATGAATGGACCTTGACAACATGCTAAGTGAAATAAGTCAGTCACATGTATCACAAATATTGCATGATTCCACTTATGTTGGGTGCCAAAGTCATAGAGAGAGGAAGTATAGGAGAGGTTGCCAGGGATGTAGGGAAGTGGGGAGTGGGGAGTTATTATTTAATAGGCACAGAATTTCTGTTGGGATGATGGAAACACTCTGGAAACAGCAGAAACGGTTGCAGAGCCCTGTGAATGAATGCAATGCCACTGCAGCTGTACACTGAAAAACTGTTAAAATGGTAAATTTCATTTACACAAATATTACCGTAATTAAAAAATTGGGCCAGGCATAGTGGCTCATGCCTGTAATTCTAGCACTTTGGGAGACTGAGGCAGGTGGATTGCCTGAGCTCAGGAGTTTGAGACCAGCCTGGGCAACATGGTGAAACCCTGTCTCTACTAAAATCCAAAAAAAATTAGCTGGGTATGGCGGCGCGTGCCTGTGGTCCCAGCTACTCGGGAGGCTGAGGCAGGAGAATTGCTGGAACCTTGGAGGAGGAGGTTGCAGTGAGCCGAGATCGTGCCACTGTACCCTAGCCTGGTGACAGAGCGAGACTTCGTCTCTAAAAAAATTAATTTTTTTAAAAATTGATTATTTACATAGAGTGATCAGCACCTATCTGATCCATTGCAGTTTTAGCTCAATGGTTATAACTATTGTTTTCATATGTCTAGTCTAGCCTGTCTTTTTTCAGAGAGGAATCTCCCTTATTCTTAAGGCTGAGAGCTTTGAATGTTTGAGACTGTCTGCGCTTCTTGACATCCTGAGTCCTTACTCATCACACTTGGCTCTCCTGTGGACGCTGTCATTCATACACCTGCAAATCACAGTCCATTCCATAGGACAAGGTGCCCTCCTCAGTGGAACCAGAGAGAAGAGAGCAGAGGGAGGCCTCCCATCCCTGGCAGTCTTGCCCTCTTGGTTCCTGTAAGGCTAGATCACTAGGCTTTGGGGATAATCTCAGAATGAACTTGTTATAGGGGAGAGGAAAAGTGAAAGAACAGGATAAGTCACATTTTCCTGGAGTCTCCAGTAGAAAGAACCCCAAACTGGAGTTCTTCACTAGAACAGGATCCACCCCTCCTGCCCCGGCCCCACTGTGTATACTGGGCTCTCCCAGCCTACTGCTCTCAAACTGGCTTTCTAAAGGATTCCTTCTTCAAGTCTCTGAATCTCTACCCACCCATAACTGGCTTTGCATGGGCAGGGCTCCAGTCTGAGTCGTTCTCTCTGGAGTAGTGCCCCAGTGGTGAGTGATACCTGTTGCCACTCAAGTCTCACAGGATAGCTGGATCCCGTGCACAGGAGTGCACCTGGATCATCCGGGCTAAGTTATTTTACTAGACGCTCCAGGGAGGGCTGTATGGACACTGGTTTCTGTAATGAACCAACCTGCTACATTAAGCACAGTCTTATCTCTCAACCGTGAACAGGACATTTCAGGCTCCATACAGTTCACATACATATAGAAAAACAAAACATTCCCTTGAATAACAAGACATCTTCTTCCTACTCCAGCATCTCAAGCCCTGAACAGCTTCGTAGCTTATTTCCAGTTCCTCTAAAGGATGCGCCCCGTTCAGTGGCAGCCACCCAGAACATATTCCAGGCTTGAACAACTTTTCTCATTTATTTCTGAAGACTCCTTGGGATGAGATAGAATTGCCAATTTTTTCTTAAACTATTGTTGTTAACACAGTCATAGAGAAAGGAAAACTTATTCAGTGAGGGCTATTGAAACAACTGGGCAATTATTTGAAGAAAAAAAAAAACTAGATTTTTGCCTTATACCTAACACAACACTAAAATAAATTTCAAATGGATTAAAGATTTGAGTTTTATGAGAAAGAGAAACTATGTGAACTAAAATATGGAATTTAAGCTCCTAAAAGGTATTCAATCAGCAGTAGATAGCCTCAATTTACTTCTCATCAAAATATCCACAAATAGGCACATATAGAAAAAGACAAAAACTGTTGATACTAAAAGAAGGCTGACAAGTAAATACCAAAATAGAGTAGAAACAATTTCTACTGCCATGATTTCTTTTCTCTTTTCTTTGCTTTTCTTTCATTTTCCTTTCTTTTCCAGACAGGAGCTCACTCTGTCACACAGGCTGGAGTGCAGTGGCGTGATTATGGCTCAGTGCAGCCTTGAGCTTCTGGGCTCAAGCGATCATCCCCTCTCAGCCTCCTGAGTATATGGGACTACAGGCATGTGCCACCATGCCTGGCTAAGTTTTTGTAGAGACAGGGTTTCACCATGTTGCCCAGGCTGGTCCTGAACTCCAGGGCTCAATCAATACACTTACCTCAGCCTCCCAAAGGGCTGGGATTACAGTTGTGAGCCATTGAGCCTGCCCTGCTGCCATGATTTCTACTGCCATGATTTCATGGCAGGTGCAGCTGGTCCAGCATGGATGTGTTGCTCTTGCCTTCATGATAGAGAGACAGGCCACTAATAAGGTATGAGGAACTTTTGGCTATCTCTGTCAGTATTGTTAGAGAGCAATTTAGGCAGAAGATGGTTATCAATCTGGCTACACAATGAAAACACCACCGATCTATTCTGATGACTTTTCTTTTAAATTATCACAGTAGTCTTGGTAAACTACCTCAGTAGTCCTGTAGAAACTACCCCAGTAGTCTTGTAGAAGCTCCACCCAGCTTCCCCAAATTTATATGTTGAAGTCCTAAGTTCAGTACCTCAGAATGTGACCTTGATTGAAAATAGGGTAATCACAGATGTAATTAGTTAAATTATGTTGAGGTCATTAGGCTGAGCTGTAATCCAATGTGACGGCTGTCCTTATAAGAAGAGGAAATTTGGACGCAGAGACACACACAGGAAGAACATCATGTGAAGATAAAGGCAGAGATTAGGCAAAGTTTTTGCAAGCCAAGGAATACCAGAAATTGCTAGCAAGGTGAGGGGCATGGAACAGATACTCTCACACAGCCCTAAGAAGAAACTAACCCTGCTCACACCTTGACCTTGGACTTCTAACCCTCAGAACTGTGAGACAATAATGTTTGTTGCTGAAGACATCCAGTTTGCGGGACTTGGTTATGGCAGCCCTAGCACACTAACACATATGACCCAGTGAAGACTTGCTCTCCATCTTCCACCAGTCCCCCACGTCAAATGACTAGATCTTGTCTGGTGAATGTCCAAATGTCTCCTAGGTTCAGGCTCTACTCTGCATCCATTGCCTCTATAGACGTATTGCGTCATTGGGTAATTGGGTGATCAGTAAGCTCCGTGACAGGAGAAGCAGGAGAAGACAGAAAGGAACTTAGTTGACCAAATGCAGCAAGGCTAGGTCAAAGCTGGGGCAAGAGAGAGAGGATCTGGGATTCAAAAGCGAAGTGGAAATGGTGGGGCTCACAAGCAGAGGGTGAGGAGATGCCTAACTTACCACTTGGTAGGAAAATGCTGAGACGGCAGAGGTTACAGCAAATGTCCAAGGGGTGGGGCTGGTCAAAGACTCCCTGGGCTCTGCCCCATGACTGGCTTTGGGGCTGGGTTTTCACCTGAGGGGTGTGTTGGGGTCTGAGTGGAGATCTTGGGGAGATCATTGCTACTGGGTTTCTTTAGGGCATGGCCATGGGGCACACATCCAAAGCACCGGCCCTGTGAAGCTGCTGACGGTGTTCTTTCAGCAAATGCAAACCCAACCAGCAGGTTTGCTGAAAAGTGGCCACGTTCCAGTCCAAGATGTGTGAGCCGAGTGGGTGCTCGGCATTCCCCAGTCCCAGTCCCAGCTCTGCCAGGAAATGGGAGACTTCACCATGGCACTGGGAATTGGATTCTAAACTTGAAGATCAAACAATAGAAGGACCTGGAATAAGACACCTTCTTGCGCTCCCCGAAGGGCTCTGAGCAGCTGGGTTTGCCTTTCTCTTCACTTCCCCAGTCCTCCTCTCATTCCTCCGTCTCCCACTCCCCATCGCTCCTTTCCCTGCCTCCTCCTGGCTGTCTCCATCTTCCTCCCTCTCTTCCTTCTCTCGCCCCATTCATCCTCCCTTGCCACTATCACCTCCTTCCTCCAGCCTTTCCTGCTTTGCTGTCCCTTCTTTCCTCTGACCTTTTCTTCTCCTCTTACTTCCCCTGTCTCCCACCTTTCTCCTCCCCCCATTTCTCCATCTCCCTCCCACCTCCTCCGCTTCATCCTTCTCCCTCCCCCCTTATTTTTCTACCTCCTTCCTCAGTTCTACTCTCCTTTCCACCCTCCTTTTGCCCATCATTCCCCCTTCTCCCCCACTGCCCCCTCCCTCTCTCTCCCCTCCCTGGGCCCTGCCCCACCCAGCTGTATTTGCTTTTCTCCCGGATCCGGATGAAGGGGTTGCCCTGCCCATGCCCAGCCCTGCCCCACTTCTGGCAGCGTGGGTCTCACTTCATGGCTGAGGGCTCCAGGACTAAGGCCCCTGGGAAAGGGCCCCCACTCAGCATCCAGCTCCTGCGAGCCCAGTATGAAGGCTTGAAGAGGCGGCAGAGGACCCAGGTCCACCTTCTGGTACTTCCAAAAGGTAGGGCTGGACAGGTGCTGGGGAAAGAGGGACTGACCATGGGAGGGCTGAGTGGCAGAGCTGCAGGGAGGCAGAGCCAGGGTTTGCCAGCCCTCCCTCCCAGTGGGGAAGAGGAGGGGAGACAGCCTCAGGGCAGCTCTGCTCAGCTGTCCCACCTGCCAAGGGAGCCAGGGGCCTCAGCCAAGCACCTGGCTGCCAGTGCTTTTCCTGGCCTCTGCTCTGATGTTCTGATCTTGCTAGACTGGTCAGCCTGGTGAGCCAGGCTTGGCCCCACTGCTAGGCCAGGTATGGTGATAGGAGCTCTGCTTCCTGCCTGAGTCTAACTAAGGCACTTCCTACAAACCAGAGAAATTCACTCTGGAAGTAGAAGACATAACATTCCCAACACACTGGGAACTGTCTGGGCCAGAGGAAGACTAGGGTTCAGAGACCCATGAGGTATCTCAGGCTCACCCAGCCTCAAACAGCAGGCAGGGAGGTGTGATCAGACACAGAAACCCCCTACCCCACTCATGGGTAGAAACCACCTCCCTTTAGGAACTCAGATTTCATTCCGGGAGGGAATTAGAAGCACAGGGTTCAGAAAGAAAGGGGCTGCCAAATCCCAGCCATTCATCCTCTAACAGAGGAACAGGTTGAGGGAGAAGGGAAGATGCCCTGAAAGATCAAAGCTGAGCTCTGCGGGATTCTGTGGTTATTTGCAGAGTTCGGTGGACTCTTTCAGCTGCCATTTGCCAGGCCAGACAAGGCAGGAATCAGGGGCCAGAGGGACCTCTCTGTCTAGGGCAGGAAGTATGCTGCCTTTTGGGAATGAAAGTGGCACCTCAGCTGAAGGAGCTCGTCCACCAATGGGACCTTGCTGGTGCCTGGAAGGAGTGAACTGGCACAGCCAGTCACCATCGCTGCAGGGCATAAACGGAAAGGTTCCTAAAGCTCTATCCCACCCTCGAGGGAATTTATTCATTCAGTTATTCAACAAACATTTATCAATTTAAATCCCTATCAAACAGAAGCACCATGCTTAATATACCTGCAGTTCAGACTCACAAATCTAATTACTTAATGGGCATGATCCAAAGACATCTCAAATTCAACATGCCCCCAGAGAATTCACTACCGCCTGTGCTGGTCCTTTCTCCTGCTCCTGGTAACTCAATGTTCCCTTTCCTATCATTACCAGGTGCTAAATTAGGGTTCATGCAAGGAGTGCCCAGGCGTGGCTTTCTCCGAGAAGACTTCTGACCTCCCAGTTAGGTCAGGGTCTTTCAAGGGCACTTTCAGCAGTTTGTAGTTCCACATTCTTTTTTTTTTTTTTTTTTTTTTTTTTGAGATGGATTCTCCCTCTATCGCCCAGGCTGGAGTGCAGTGGTGCAATCTCAGCTCACTGCAATTTCCATCTCCCAGGTTCAAGCAATTCTCCCTGCCTCAGTCTCCCGTGTAGCTGGATTACAGGTGCCTGCCACCATGCCTGGTTAATTTTTTTGTTATTTTAGTAGAGATGCGGTTTCATCATGTTGGCCAGGCTGGTCTTGAACACTTGACCTCACATGATCCACCCTTCTTGGCCTTCCAAAGTGCTGGGACTACAGGCATGAGCCACCATGCTCAGCCAAGTTCCACATTTTTTATCTAACTGTGAGAGGCAGTACACTGTCTAATGGAGTGGTCACGTGATGGGTCTTGGAGTAGAGCCTAAATCTGAGTCCCAGCTCTGCCATTTACTTAATGTGTAGCTTTAAACAAGTGATGTAAATTTTCTGGGGCTCAGTTTCCTCACCTGTAAATTGGGAATAACTGTAGTACCCAACTCATAGGGTTATCGTAGGAACCAAATAAATTAATATGTATGAAGCTCATCAAGGCTTTATGTACTGACTGGCTGAGGACAAGATCATGTGTGTCACATGCATCTGAGGAGGAAGGCCACTTGAAGCTCTAGCATTGAATGTAAAGGAGTAGGGAGTTCTCCAGGAAGAAATCAGGGTGAGATGACAAAAATAAGGTGAAAATGATGCTAAGGTGGCAAAAGAGCAATTAATTGTCCCTGACACTTTGGCAACAGGGTAGATGGTGATATCTTTCTTTGAGAATACAGGAGAAAATGGGTTTTAGAAGAGAGAGATAAACTTGTTTTTGAATATACTGCATTGGAGATAGTTGCCTGTAGACCATCCATCCAGCCTGGATCTCATTTGGGCTGGAGATATAGATTTGGGGATCATTAACATACTGAAAGTAACTGAAGCCATGGGCACCAATAAAATTATGGTAAGTCAATGTGTAAATTGATAAGAAACTGGGATGAAAATTAGAGTTCTGGAATACTCAAATATTTAAGGAACAAAAGGAGGAAATGAAGCCAGGGAAGATGGAGAAAGCAGCCAAAATTTGAGAAGAGGGATATCATTCAGCCATAAAAAGGAAAGAAATTCTGCCATCTGCTACAACAAGGGTAAAACTTGAGGACACTGTGTGGAGTGAAATAAGTCAGTCCCCAAAAGGCAAATACTGTATAATTCCATTTACATGAGGTATGTAACGTAGTCACATTTATAGAGACAGAAAGAAAGTAGAACAGTGGTTGCCAAAGGGTGGGCCATAGGAAGTGGGCTGTTATTGTTTAATGCTTATAGAATGTCAGTTAGGGAAGCTGAAGAGTTCTGGAGATTGGTTCCCCAATAATGTGAATGTACTGAACACTACTAAACTGTACACTTAAAAATGGTTAAGATGGGATATTTAATGCTTTCTGCATTTTACTACAATTGAACATATTTTAAGTGGTAGAAGAAAGTCAAGGGCAATTAATGTCATAAAGCCAAGCTAGTAGAGAGATTTTAGAGGACAGTGATCCTCAGTGCCCAGAGCAGCAGAGACACCCAGGAAGACAGAGTGAGCATTGAGATTGGGCTCCTACTGAAGCTAGAAGTCAACGTTACAAGACATTGGGTGACATTTGGAAGCTCAGAAATGCTAGGAACTGATCAATGAAAGGAAGCGCTCTGAAATTAGCATTCTTCACCCTGTCCTAGCATTATGCGACGGGTTCAGGTTCTGGAAATGCAGTCTTCCCTGATGCAACGTAAGTTCCCCGGGGGACCTTGAGCTACTTTCAGAAGTCTGCAGCGCCCCAGTTACCAGAAGTGGTTGGTGTCCCAAAGGAATATGCTTTTGTCACAGTCAGACACTGCATGACTCACTTTATGTAGAAAAGGGATTAGGGTAGGGAATTAGATCCAGGCTGGATGTTTCATATGACATTTCATTTAACACTACCATCAGCCTTGCAAGGCAGCTCCCTTTGTAAGATCTCCCTTTTATAGATGAAGCAATGGAGGCTTGGGGTCTCTTAGTGAGTCAGTGGTGAGCTCAGGACCAGAACGTATGTCGGCCTGACTCTGGCTGGATGAGAGAGGCTCCACCGGAGGTCTCAGGCAGTTGGGATGAATTTTTGTTCTTCTTTCCTCCCTGAGTCTCTCCACCCGCTTCCTTCATCCCACTGAAGAGAGAAATCAAGGAAAGGGGCTGAAAGAAATCAAGGAAAATCAAGAGAAATCAAGGAGCTCAAAATACCCCTTCTCCAATTTATATCTTCTGGCAAAGTGAATCCAGGCTGGAGAATGAAGAAACTGTTATAGATAATGAGTACATTTCCTTCATCCCCAGTCCCCCACTGACCAAAACCAAAATAAAAACAGATAAAAAACGTGATATGAAATTTCCCTGTAGTTTTCAGACTATTACCCTGATTCTGTTTTGCTTGTGAAGAACAGGCACCATCCTAAGATGTGGAGGGTACTGCCATGGAAGGCTCATGGTGATTCTCAGCAGGGGCTGCACTGGGGTGGGGTCCCTGTGTACCTGCCAGCTGAGCTCTCCTCTCCTTTCCTCTGAACCACAGGCTGGGACTAACAGTTGAGCAGCTCTGTCCACCTTCAGTCTTTTCCTCCTAAACTCATGATGGGAGAGGATGCTAGTTCCTGGGTTCTCCCATCTGTCTCCCTCCTTCCTTGTTCTCAGATAAGTACATAACATGTTGGATATTTGTAAAAGTTTCCTTCATTCCACGCTGGAAAATAGTCCTAAGGAACTAATGCAGTTACAAAGCAGGAACAACCCTTCAGAGCCTCACACTGGAGTCGGTGTTGACAGGACCGTAGCTGTGGGCTGAGGTGGCTGCAGCTGGTCTTCTGTTTCTTTTAGATGCCTGGAATTGGAGCTCAGGGGCTTCCTTCTGACTTTATTCTTCCAATAGCATCTCCCCATTCTTGCTCTGCACATTGTCACCTCCAGGGCCTCCCGTGATAACAGATGCTAGACGGGCAAGCGAACCTAAATGACCTCTCTGAGGAGCGCCAGGCTGGTCACACACCTGATTTCTATAAGGGAAATGCCTTTCCGTCGTTCCTACCACCTCACTGCCACCAAGAGTTGACAATGAACTATCATATTTCACTAGGTGGTTTTAAAAAAAATGTCCCCAAGAAAGAAAAGAGCTATTGATCTGCCTCCCCCACCCTAAAGCCAGTTCTGAGAAGCAGTAAATGCTACAGATGTCCTCCCAGAGCGGTGCCTGTGGACAAGGAAAAGGATCATGATTGGTTCTCTTAAAGGAGATGCTTCAATACACAGCTCCTCCCTCTTCTGCCTTGAGTGGTAAACTCACTGTCAGAATCTCAGGACACAGCCGGGTGTGGTGGCTCACGCCTGTAATCCCAACACTTTGGGAGGCTGAGGTGCGTGGATCACTTGAGGTCAGGAGTTCAAGATCAGCCTAGCCAACATGGTAAAACCCCGTCTCTACTAAAAATACAAAAATTAGTCAGGTGTCTAATTTTCTTCTAATTCCCAGCTACTTGGGATACTGAGGCAGGAAAATCACTTGAACGCAGGAGGTGGAGGTTGCAGTGAGCCAAGATTGTGCCACTGCACTCTAGCCTAGGCAACAGAGCAAGACTCCATCAAAAAAAAAAAAAAAAAAAAAAAAAAAAAAAAAAAAAAAAAGAATCCCAGGACACAAAACCCCATAAGAATAATCTTTTCCACTGGTGAGCATATATGACTCCACATGTGTGTGAGTCTGCGTGTACCCTTGTTCCTTGCCTTTCTTTTAGCCCCAAGTGCTAGTTCCCTATCTCCTCCCAGAGTTTACTCCCTCACTTCAGTGTTTGAGCCTCTATTATGCTTGAGATTTTTCATAGCATTGATTACCATCTGAAATTTTATTATACATATGCATTTGCTTATGGTCTTTCTACTCAACTAGGACACATCCAGGAAGGTGTGAGTTTTGTCTCAATGTTCATTGCTGTATTTCCAGGACCTAGAATAAATAACGCCTGGTACCTATTAAGTGCTCAGTAAATATGTGTTCAATGAATGAATAATAGTGTGCGTGTAAATATATACGGATGAGGTGTGAAGGGGCATGTGTGTGAGCATGGAAATGAGGCCTTGTGTGCATCCGTGTGTTTACACATGTACACACATGCAATGTACCAGGAACCTTCTGGGGATGGCCTTCCTTCAGCTTGAAAGCAATGAGACCCCCTAAGTGCCCTTTTCCCTTCCAGTAATGACCTTGCTGGTGCTTTCTCTTTTCAGGAGGAAACACGCCTGCTCCTGCAGAATCAATGGTCAATGCTGTTTGGATTAACAAGGAGAGAAGGAGCTCACTGTCCCTAGAAGAGGCAGATTCTGAGGTGGAGGGGAGCCTGGAGGAGGCTGCCCAGGGCTGTCTTCAGGCCTCCGAGTCTCCCTGGCACACGCACCTGGAGATGCATCGTTTGGTCCAAACCTTCCCCCAGGATACCAGTCATCAAGTACATCATAGGGGCAAGCTTGTGGGAGCTGGCCAAAGGCTCCCTCCTGAAGGAGATGCACACTTGTTTGAAACAAATCAGATGACTCAACAAGGAACCGGAATCCCAGAGCCTACCCAGCTTCCATGCCAGGTGGGCAATACCCACACAAAGGCAGTGGAATCTGGCTTAAAATTCAGCACTCAATGTCCTCTTTCCATAAAGGACCGACACAGGTCTGGCAAACCAGCCTACTATCCATTTCCCCAGAGGAAAACTCCCAGGATCTCCCAAGCTGCCCGGAACCTGGGCTTATATGGCTCAGCCTGAAGCTCTATTCTGCCAGATGTGTTGGCCTTCAGGCCACCTATGACCTCATAGAACAACCAAGTAGGCATAGCCATGACTAGGTCTCTAGCTATGAACAAGAACTGGATTCAGCCAATTACAGGAATTCTGGGAGATGAACTTCACAGTGGGAACATGGTCTTATCCTTCCAATAAGAAAAGACTGCTCAGGCCAAATTGCTCACAGTTTAGGATGAAGAGGACTGTTTGGTCAGTGCAGCCCCATTCTGAGATTGCTATGAGATCCTGGATATCCATTCCTTGGGGACGACCAGTAAGACGTCTGCTCCATCCCTGGAACTGGAGAAATCTGAAATGTAACCAGGGACTCTAGCCAATGGAATTCCTTAGCAATGCCCATGGGTCAATGGACATGGGTATTCTTGTGTTCAGTATCTTCTGACGATTTCTCACATATTCTGGAGAAGACAAGCCCTGAGAATTCAGACACTTTTCTGGTGGCTGTGTTTGGGGGCCATCTCACTTAGAAGTCATAACACTCATAGGCAGTAATCCCATCATTTCAATTTGAGCTTCCCAAAGTATAGTCACCCTGGGTATGAAGGTCAGATCAATGGTCTACCATTTTGTCTGTTTAAGGGGTCTTTAGAAAGGGCAGTTCATCTGTCCCTGCTCACTGAGACATGTACATTCCAGCATCACCACAGCTTTATCTTCTTTCTTTTGTCTCTCCCTCCTTCTGTCTCTCCCTCCTTCCTTCTGTCTCTCCCTCCCTTCCTCTCTCCCTCTCTCCCTTTTGTTCCTCTCTTCCTTCGTCTCTTTTTTCCTCTCTCCCTTCCTTCCTGCCTTCCTGCCTTTCTTTTCTGTATCTCTGAAAATTAACTTATTAAAAAACTGCCAATTATGAAAGATACATAATGATGGGATCCTGAGCAAAAAGAGGCAAAGAAATACTCCTGCTTGAAATATACATCTTCTGCTGGGCGCAGTGGCTCAAGCCTGTAATCCCAGCACTTTGGGAGGCCGAGGCGGGTGGATCAAGAGATCAAGACCATCCTGGCCAACATGATGAAACCCCGTCTCTACTAAAAATACAAAAATTAGCTGGGCATGGTGGCGCGTGCCTGTGGTCCCAGCTACTCGGGAGGCTGAGGTAGGAGAATTGCCTGAACCCGGGAGGCGGAGGTTGCGGTGAGCCGAGATCGCGCCATTGAGCTCCAGCCTGGGTAACAAGAGGGAAACTCCGTCTCAAAAAAAAAAAAAGAAAAGAAAAGAAAAGAAAAAAGAAATATATATCTTCCCTATAGATGGCCTCCTGTTTAGCCAACTGGGATCACTCAGATCCTACCAGGGATCAAACATATTTTTAAACCTAAGATAAAGCAAAGCAGGTGTTACTTGGATGACAGGGAAAAAAGCTTGTCTTTCCTGGTTAATATTTAGCTTTAGTAATGCTATTTAAACACATGTAAGGTGCCTTTCCCTCATATCAGATGCTTTCTCTGTGAAGTTTCACCCCCACCTTTCTTTTCTCCCCATGGCCATCCAGTCTTGCCCATCTATATCCAGAGTTGTTAACTAGTAGTGTTAACTAGTTTCTGGACCACCCAGAAATCCATTCCAATTTGAGGGTTCGTTGTGATTCCTTTTGTGAATAATTAGCACAATTCAGTGTGTTTTTTTAAATATTCTAATAAAAAAAGAAAATTTCTCAAAAATCTTTGTCCTTTGGTTTTTAAAGAAGTGTCCCACAGGTAACGTATCTTTCTATAGGTTTGTTTTTGTTTTCATTTTTTTGAGACAGAGTTTCACTCTGTTGCCCAGGCTGGAGTGCAGTGGTGTAATCTTGGTCCACTGTAACCTCTGCCTCCAGGGTTCAAGCTATTGTCTTGCCTCAGCCTCCCAAGTAGCTGGGATTGCAGGCATGCACCACCATGCTGGCTAATTTTTTGTATTTTTAGTAGAAACAGGGTTTCATCATGTTGGTTGGTCTGGTCTCGAACTCCTGACCTCAGGTGACCTGCCCACCTTGGCCTCTCAAAGTGCTGGGAATACAGGTATTCACCACCACATCTAGCCTCTTTCTACAGTGTTTTTAAAATCCTTCTCTCTTCCTTGTGACAAAGGCTCCTGCAGATGTGGCAGCAGGTGTAGCCACCTCTATCCTGCCTACGAGGTGATGGAGAGTGCATGGGCTATGGAGTCAGCAGACTTAGATTTTAATCCAGCCATTCCTGATCAAGTGTGATTTGGACCAAGTTACTTAATCTTTCAGCTTCAGTTTCATCGTCTGTAAAATGAAGACAATATTTTTTTTTTTTTTTAATTGAGACAGAGTCTCACTCCGTCACGCAGGTTGGAGTGCAGTGGCGCAATCTCGCATCACTGCAACCTCTACCTCCCAGGCTCAAGCAATCCTCATCACCTCAGCTTCCTGTGTAGCTGGGACCACTGGTGCACACCACCACACCCAGCTAACTTCTGTATTTTTAGGAGAAACGAGGTTTAGACATGTTGCCCAGGTTGGTCTCAAACTCCTGAGCTCAGGAGATCCACCTGCCTCGGCCTCCCAAAGTGCTAGGATTACAGGCATGAGCCACTGCATCCGGCCCAATATTTAACTTTTGAGAGGATTGGAAATAATGCATGTAAATTTCCTGGCACTCTTGGTTAAGAGGTAGCAATCGTTATTATAAAAAGTTTATTACTTTTAAACATCCCTGTTTTCACCTCCCACTCAACATCTACCCTCTGCAAGCTGCTTCTGCTCCCACAAAGATTGAAGATCACTAGCCACTTCCTTCTCTCCAAATTCACTGGCTTCTACGTCCTTCTCTTTTATCTCTGCAGCATTTATAATGACTGTCGCCATGGACTCCCTGTGCCTTCTTCCATTTCTCTGTTAGTCTGGGGCTGTCCCTTACCAGTCTATGAGCTCTTTTAAGTCAGGAAAAGTGTTTGACTTTTCTTATTGCCCCAGCACTTAGAATAAGACTTGGCAAATTGAGTGGTCAATACATGATTGTCAAATGAGTAAGTCAGAGAACGACTGCCATATCCTCTTTGTTTTATCCACCCAACAGCCGAACTCTGCTCCCTCTCTTTAATTTATAGACTGTTCCAAGTTCAGACTTAGATGTTTTATTTTTCCCTTAATGTGTTCTCACTTAAGAATCAAAGCAGAACAAGTTGTGGAAGTAAGAGTGTGCCAGGAACAGGATGTGTAATGACTGTGACGGACACAATATCCTGATGTGTTTCAGAAGCTGGATGAAGGCTGGTGGGGTTCAACACAGTGACCAAGGGAGAGAGTAGGTGCTAGGGCAGTGTGTCATTCAGGATAGGCTATGATTTGCTGCAGTAAGAAGCAACCCACAAATCTCATAACAGAAGCTTATTTTTCACTCCTAAGATGTTCACTGCGGATTTGGGCAAACTTCCAGGGCCACTCTTCTCTGTGCATTCTCCACTATTAAGACTTCCCAACCTCATGGCACCACCTTGTCAATACTCAAAAAAAGAGCTCCCAGCCTGGCCTGGCGGCTCATGCCGGCAATCCCAGCACTTTGGGAGGCCAAAGTGGCTGGATTGCTTGAGACCAGGAGTTTGAGACTAGCCTGGACAACACGGTGAAACCCTCTCTCTACCAAAAATACAAAAATTAGCTGGGCGTGTTGACATATGCCTGTTATCCCAGCTATTTGGGAGGCTGAGACATGATAATTGCTTGAACCTAAGAGGCAGAGGTTGCAGTGAGTTAAGAACACGCCGCTGCACTCCAGCCTGGGTGACAGAGTGAGATTCTGTCTCAAAAAAAAAAAAAAAAAAAAAATACTGAGTTCTGTAATCAGTATAACAAGTGAAGAAAGTGTGTTGGTTGTGCACTGGTTCTCAAATGACTTTTGCACATATTTCATTGTCCAAAGCAATTCACATGGTTAGATCTTCACTTCAAGGGTATGAAGAACTGTGATCATCCCAGGTGCCTGGAAGGAGAGAAGAAATGGGAACCTGGCTGAGCGGCACTGCAGGCTAACACAGGTAGAAGGAGCCAGGTCACTGGGGGCTGTGGGCGTCATACAAGAGTAGATTTCATTCTGAATACAATGAGTAGCCATTGAAGGGTTTACATGGGAGAATAAAATGATTTGATTTGTGTTTTAATCAAATGATTGGTTGATCTATAGAGAATGAGTTGAGGGTCAAGTTAAGAGGTAATATCAGCTAAGAAATGACCAGGGCAAGTTGAGTGGGAGAGATACAATTAGCTCAAGCAAGGTCAGGAGCAGAAGAGATGGAGAAATGGCGGTTATATATTTTGGAAATACAGGAAATAGAATTTGCTGAAGGAAAAGTATAAATTCAGTGTGAAGGACATGGACTTCGAGATTTCCATAAGGTACAAATGAAGATATGAAGTAGGCAAGTGGATAAATGAGACTAGAGTTTGGGTTTAAGAATGTGAACGTAAGGGTTGTCAGTACGTGAAGGTACTTAACAGAATGAGAAAGGATATGTTTCCCTATGCAGACTATAGAGAGAAGACAGGGTTCAGAATGAGTCCTGAAGACATCCAATTTACTTAGGAGAAAAATCTCTAAAGACTTTTCTAATTCTTAGGAAAGGTGGGATTGAGGGAGAAGGAGGTAGTGAAGAACACTGAGAAGGAGTGGCTGGGGAGAAAGGAGAGCCAGGAGGGTCACACAACCTAAGAAGCAAGAGCTACCGCCGAGTCATTGTGCAGGTCACTGCCCTATCTGAACATCTCTCACAGATCCCCATTTTCTAGAGTCCACATGCTTCAGCTTGGAGCTGCTTTTTCTCGAGTACGGGTGTGAGAGAGCAGAGTCAGAGAGGCAAAGCTGGCTGTGTGAAAACTCTTCATCCAGGCACAGGCAAAGTCATTGTCCGCATATTCAGGTCAGGGCTGACTGACTGTCACCAAGTCTGGCTTGAGGGGGTCTTTGCCCCAAGATGGCTTTCCCCTCAGGGCAGTCATCCCCAAGCCTGTGGTGGGGCTGAGGATTGAGTGTTCCTTGTCTCAGAGCTTAAAGGAAAAATGGGAAGGGGAAGGGCTGAGCTTTGAATCCTTCCACTCCCTTCCCACAGGTTACTCCTGTCAAGAGCATTGGAACCATTTGGTTCTCAATCACACACTCACAGGCTTGTCCTCCTATTAACCTGTGGGCTCCCAAACCTGCTTGGGGCAAAGGGCTCAGGTCCCTGTGAGGGCTGCCACCCTACCCGCCCCTCTGATTTTCCTTCCCGTGCTCGCCAGGACTGGAGCTAACCTCTTTTCACATTCTCCAAGTGTTAGTGAGTCAACAGAATAGGGTCAGGAGGCAGGGAACCTAAGGCTGCTTCATGCTGACTTCTTAGAACTAAATCAAAAGGAAAACAGCAACTTTCCACTCCCAAGTAACAAAAGGACCAGAGGCTACTCCCTTGGCAACCCCCTACTTTCCTTCACCTTTTTTCTTCATGGCAGATGAAAAATTGAAAGTACCTCTGATTGATTCCCCACCGACAACCATCAATCAGGCAGTCAAGGGCCAAGTCTTCCTATTTGCATAGGAGCATAACTTTGTAACTTCACTTCAGTCTCTTATTGGTTGCTTTCCACAACCAGTCAGACGTTTGCATAGGGTGTAACACTTCAGCCTCTGATTGGTCCCCTCCTGCAACCAACCAGACTAATAGTGAGCCACTACTTTGTTTACATAGGGTGTACACCAAGTATCCAATG